TCTTGGTTACAGACAGTAGAAACTTATTTCAAATTAGCTCATGCCAAACCTCACAATGAGGAAGTTCTGGGGTAGACCTGGATACGGATGTTCAGTGACTTGACATTAAGATTGTCAGTTTTTTCCCCCTCAGTTTTGATTACTTTATTCTCAGGTACTCTTTCTACACATGGTAAAAAAAGATGGCCACTGGCCGCTCACAATTTATGAATTGTTACAGTTCTTCCTGAGAAAGGGAAGAGAAAGACCGTAATTTTCTCAGTTTCTGTGTATCAAATCTGAGATGAAGATACTGTAATTAGTCCTGACTAGATCGTGTTCCCACTCCTGGGCTAGTCACTGGGGACTCAGAGGGATAGCGCCCTGTGATGGGTCAGGCCTAGATCATATGCCCTTCTCAGGAAGGTGAGCCACTTGAGTGAATTCCACTGAACCTCAGAGATAGATGGGCAGCTAAACAATGCATGTTCTCTGTGGTCATCTTGCAGAATACAAAAAGGAATTATTATAACAAGAACATCATGAAGTGAAAATATTTGCCAGTTTATTAGATCTAAAACAGGAATGTTATCACTATTTTACTTTGTATTTGGTTATTTCATTAGTAGTCAGGTTTTCACAAGTTTTTTCTCACATTTTTATTAGGCGTTTGTATTTCTTCCATGAATTGTCTTTGCATGTGCTTTCTCTTTTTCTGTTGTGATTTTAGTGGTTCTTATTTATAAGAGTTCTCTATATTTTAGGACTTCCATTCTTTTTCATTCTTCGTTGCTTGAAAAATAACTCAACAGTTATATATAAAGTTTCACAATAGGCTTCCTTCATTTTGTACATATCTACATTTTTCTTGATTTGTGAAATCTTTCAGATGTTCTAAAATATCAATTGATAAGAAGTAACAGTCAAAGAACATACATGAAGGACCCATGGACAGTGGTGTGGGGATGACTGTGGAAGTGGGGTGGCGGGGTGGGTTGGGTGGAGGGCGTGAAGGGGGGAAAAGTGGGACAACTGTACTAGCATAAACAATAAAATAGTAAAAAACTAAACAATAGTAGAAATTTCTTATTAAGAGATGAATAATTAATTTAAATAGAATAACATATAGTAGTCTCCATTTGGATAAATCCAGATTGAATTATGGAATATATATATTATCTGTGAGAACTAGTTATTCTTTTATCTTTGGAAAATACTATTTTCCAAAAATATATAACAGCTTCAACATCCTCCTTCACCTTTTAAGAATTTGTTTACTTAAGTAAACAAAGTTAAGGCCTCATGTTTCTTAACTTAATTCTTTGATAATGTAATTTTATCATGAATGATTATGTCACTTGATAATAGCAAGTTCAGCCCTAATAGTTCATAATATGTGTTTTGCATGCATTATTTGGTATCTTAATGTAGCAAGTGACATCCTAGGATAAAGATAGTCAGCTATTTATATCTGACAGAATATTTAAGTTTATTAAAACTTAATCCACATATTGGTAATGATTAAAACAACAAAGTTTTTCATATTTTTATAGGAATAAAGATTGGGTTTATTAGTGGAATCCATAATTATAAGGTAATATAAAGTAATGGCTAGGTAATATAATTGTGTGTATTTTAAAAATAAACTTAGGTTTTTCTTTTTTCTCTTTAACTAGTAGTAAGTATATTTATTCTTAAAAAATGCAAACAGTATTGAGTGTGTAAGGCAATGTTCTAGTCTTCTGCCTACACCTCCTCTGTTAACTCTTACTGCCTAGAACAGGTGGGTGTCTATCCTTCCAGTCCTTTTTGTACTCATGCACTTGAAGCAGAGATTGTCATATCCAATGTGGTTCAGAAATTTTCTCCAAAATGTAGTAACTCAAAAGACACTGAATGAATGAACACCCCAGGAAGTTCAGAGTATAAAAAAAGTTGCTTTAGAAATTTTCTTTAATGCTTAATCCATGCGACATTTGAATTTCATTCCATGATATTTGATTTTATATAAATAAACCTCAACGTGTTTTAAATTACTTTACAAGGTATAAAATTGATTCTCGTGAGAGATTCTCCCGCAGCATCTTGTAGACATTCTCTGGCACACATTATAACCACATAGTTCCCGAGAGTGATGGTGGTTGTGCTTTGAGAAGCATTGTTTTAGAGGAGCATCATCTTGGTTTTTTAAAATTCCTTTCTAAATATTTTCTCTACGTGGATTTATGCAGTAGACCTCATCTGAACCAGTCCAGTGAATATTTTTAAACAATCTCTTCAAACAATTAATTCTGTGTAAGTCAGATAATTCCTAAAGAAAACAGTATTTTCTCATTGATGTCAGTACCCATGAATGCGTATCAGAATTGTGGACCAGCAGGTTCTATGGACCAAACTCACTTTATACATATGTATCAATTGAAAAAATAAACTTTGTTAATTGCAGTGATTTAAATACTAGTGATATTTTTAAAGATGAGTCAACCTTTAGTAAAATTAAACTTTTGTCCTTGATGAATTAAAAGTCTCAGTTATCTCCTTCCTTTTGGAAAAGCATAATTGTACCCCGAGTGTCGTGGACTTAGGAAAATGGTTTCACAGGGAAATTTTCAAAATATTTTCTATTGCTAAATTTTAAAGAGCTGCTTTTAATGGAAATTGTAAAAACAGAAAATAAGCTTAAGATAGTCTTAGTCTGAATTTACTGACTTCAGCCAAGAAATGGAAGTGTTAAATTTTGTGTCATTATTATCTTGATTATAATGCTGATCATTAAGATGGTAAAGGATTCTTAGGATTGGTCAGAAGTAAAATATTTGACCTTTTCAGTCAAGGACTCAAAACCCTGTTTGTATCATTATATTCTTTAAAGAGTTTTATTATGATTTTCTAAGGGTTGGGGTATTTAATTTTAAGGGTTGTAGTTCTTGCATCCTGTTAAAATACATTCTCTTGGCCTACAATATAATTTAAACTCCTGAAATATTTACAAAAGTAAGAATTTTGTACAAAACTATTGTTAACCAATTTGGAAAACAAATCTAATTTATACTTACAGAGCAGGAACCCTGGTATCAGACTGTCTGGGTTCAGATGTCATCCCTAGGGCTTGATAACTTCACACAGGTTGCCCCTTTATCTTGTTTTGTTTTGTTTTTTTAAATAGCACTTCTAAGCCCTGGCTGGCATAGTTTAGTGGATTGAGCTCGGGCTGTGAACCAAAGTGTCGCAGGTTTGATTCCCATTCAGGGCACATGGCTAGGTTGTAGGCCACAGCCCCCAGCAACCGCACATTGATGTTTCTCTCTCTCTCTCTCTCTCTCTCTCTATCTCTATCTATCTATCTATCTCTCTCTCTCTCTCTCTCTCTCTCTCCCTTCCCTCTCTAAAAATAAATAAATAAAATCTTTAAAAAATAGCACTTTTATAGAACAATCTGTAAAATAGTACTTTATCGAATTTCATAAGAATTAAATGAAGTAATACTTGTAAAGTATTTAGAATGGTGCTGGTACCTAGTAAGCACTAGTCATGTGTTAACTATTGTTATCACACATGTGTGTGCATTCACATATACATTTCTGCCTGTGACAGGCTTTTGAGGTTAAAATTTATTGCACCTAAAATATTTAGATTTTTGTAAGCGTTCAAGGGAGCAAATGGTGATTTCTCCTCTGAGTGAGGGCCTACATCTCCCTGGGGAGGAGGGTCCTTTTTTTGATTTGCACTAAAGTGCCAAATAAACCAGCAGTGGCTTTCTCAGTCCATTTGGGCTGCTGTAATGAAAATATCATAGACTTGGTGGCTTAATAATGGAAATGTATTCCTCGCAGATCTGGAGGCTAGGAAATTTAAGATCAAGGTGCCAGCAGGTTCAATATCTGTTGAGGGCCCACTTCCAGGTTCATAGGCATGTTCTTCCATGGTGGAAGAATCAAGGGAGCTTCCTGGGATCCCTTTTAAAAGATCACTAATCTCATCCCTGAGGGTGGAGCCTATTCACCTGATCACCTCCTGAAGGCCCACCTCCAATCCAAATACCATCACAGTAGGTGTTAGGTTTCAACATGAGAAATTGGGTGGGGGGGGCGTGCAAATATTCCATCTATAGCACTGGCCTTGATAATGTACAACTTCTTCTGGCAGCTATACACTGTTCTTTCTTATTTTTCTACAAAAATTGAAGCTACACTTGAGACTGGGGGTGGGGGAAGGTAAGATTTTAGGAATTGGTACTTGGAAAGTTACCATATTTTGCTACATATAATGCACTCCTGTGTATAATGTGCACCCATGTTTTTGGCCCAAACTTTATCAGGGAAAAAAATCTTTCATTGTAATTTTTTAATTCAATTATTTATTTATGTTTAGATACTTTTTTTTTGGTATTATAAAGAAGTTTTAACATTTATTTTTGAGCATACAAAGATCCTTATTGCTTTCTAGAGTTACACTTTTAACACATAAGCACAAATAAAATAATTAAAACATTTATTTATGTAGATATGGAATTAGTACTACCTATGTATAATGCATTGTCCTATTTTCCCCTCACAAATTTGGGCAAAAAAGTATGCATTATACACAGCAAAATATGGTAGGCCTCAGCCAATCACCTTGCTTAGCTGCCTGAAATGATAATATGCAATGAATTTAAAATTTGGAAAATAATTATTTTAGGGTAGTGTATGATTGCTCTGCTTTTGTAGATTAAGGCTTTGAATACCTAAAAACTTTGGTATCTTCATGATCAGTTAGTGAGGTCTTGGTTGATTGGTAGAAGAAGCAAAAGAAGCAAACTCATTTAATCTCTTATACCATATACTCAGAATTATTTGGAATTACTGGAATAATAACTGTATAAGTAGATTTTTTAACAGGCCGAATATACCACTTATTGGTACTTCAGTGGTTAAGTGTTAAAATCTTTATCTGGTTCTTCTAATAATGATAAATGATTACTCTTTATTGTTAATAACAATTAGGTCATTCAACATTTCAATTTTTATTTTATCTAATAGATGAACCAACTAGCCCTAGCATTGATCATGATCTTGCGCATATTCCCGCTTCTGCTGTCATCTCAGCCTCTACCTCTCAAGCACCCTCTCTAGCAACAGTCCCTCCCAGCCTTACAACTTCAGCTCCTTTAATTCGACGTCAGCTCTCCCATGACCAGGGTATGTTTCAATGAGTGCTTATGTAAACCATCTTTCATTCTCCATTTTCTATTTAGAATATTATGACACACTGTGACCTTGTCACCGTTAAAAGAATCTGAAAACTATTTGCAGATGTCTAAATGTTGGATTTTGATTCCAGAATCTGTTGGACCTCCCAGCCTGGATGCCCAGCCCAACTCAAAGACAGAAAGATCAAAATCATATGATGAGGGTCTAGATGATTACAGAGAAGATGCAAAATTGTAAGTCTCAAGCATATTGTTTTAAATATTTATTTGTGGGTGTTCAGCATCGCTTTGACATACGAATATTAAATTTAATGATATCTTTTGTTTTTTAACTTTATGACTTTAGAAATGCAAATAAAATCAAAGTTCTTACTATATTCTAATTGAATTTTTAAATGAATACTTAAAAATCAGTAGTATACAAACACAAAAATATGTATATTAAATAATCACTTCCCACTCTAAACCTCGAGCCACCCAGTTCTACTTTTTCATATAACTGTGTTTTTGTTTTCTTTTGTATAATTTCCAGTTATACTATGCATAATAACCATACACACAATTTACCTATGCTCATGTGTCTATTCCAATTACTTTTTATAAACAAATCATAGGTGCTGTACACACTGTTCTTGGAGATAATTTAGTGTATACAGTCCTGACTCATTCTTTTTTGTGATTGTTTAATTTTCCATTGAAAGTTCTACTATAGTACCTCCAACCAGTGTTCTGTATTCTATTAATAGACATTGGATTGACCAAATCTTATTCTACCACAAACAATACTTCAGTGACTATATCTGTATATTATTTAGCATATGAAAATTACAGTTGGAAAAGGATTGTTACAGGAAGGGGTATGTATATGTTTTATTTTGATAAGGATACAAGGGAGCAAATGGTAATTTCTTCTCTGAGTGAGGGCCCACATGTCCCTGGGGAAGAGGGTCCCTTTTTCTGATTTGCACAAAGTGCCAAATAAACTAGCAGTGGCTGTTTCAGTCCATTTGGGCTGCAGTAACAAAAATACCATAGATCGGGTGGCTTAAATAACAGAAATTTACTTCTGTTATTTATTCCTCAGTTGCTCACCGTAAAGATCATACCAAATCACATTCCCACCAACACTGTACAAAAGTCTCTGCTGCCCCCCCCACCAGCACGGCGCGTTAGTCAACGTTTGATGGTTTTGTGACTCCAGTGGTATCATATTGTAGTTTTAATTTGAAATTTTTCTTATTATTGGTTGAACACCATTTCATGTATATTTAAGAGGTATTTATTTCTTTTTCTGTAGGAAACTGCTTTTTCATGTTTCCTACTGGTATTTCATACTGACTTCTGGGGGCTCTTTATATAAAAGAAACTACCTGCTTTGTTGAGATAAGTGTTGCAAGTCTTTTTCCAATTCATTATTTTCCATTTTGTTTTCTTAAATTTTTTTAACCATGAAAAAAAGATTAAACATTTTATTTTATTTTTTGCAGTCAAATTTAGAAATATTTTTAATGGTATTTGGCTTTTGAGTCATACTGAAAAAGCCTTTCCTCCAGAATTATAAAAAATCCTTCATTGTTTGCTTCTCAAATTTGTATGTTTCTCTTTTTCCTTTTTGTATATTTACAACTTTGACTCACCTGAAATTTATTTTATTCTAATTAATGAAATAAAGAGCCAACTTTATATTTTCCAGTGTCTCTCAGTTGTCCCAAAAGCATCTATTGAGTGTTATACTTTCCAGTGATATTTCATCTTTATTATAAGCTAAATTTTATATATGTTTAGTTTTATTTTTAGACTCTATTCTGTTCAATTAGTTCATCTGTTTATTCCTATATACCAAATTCTGTTAATTATAGTGGTTTTACAATGTTTAGTGTATGGGGCTATTCACCCTAGTTGCTTTGTCATTTCCAAATTGTCCTGGCTATTTTTATTATACTATTTGAACTTGCAAATTAATTTTGTAGTTCTTAAACTCATGAATGTTTTCATTGATGTGATACTTAATTTATGGATTACTATAGGGAATATTAATTTTTTTATGATGTTGAACTTTCTGTCAAAGAACAGTTTGTCTTTTTATTACAGTATTTTTGCATAGATTCTGTGAAGTTTTTATTTGATGATTATTTATAGTCCAATAAAATTACTTCTTCCCATACTGCCAATTTTTAAATTTGATTTAATTTTTAATTAAGTTTATCGGGGTAACATTGGTTAATAAGAATATACATGTTTTAAGTGTAGATTTGTACGATGCATAATCTGTCTTTTGCATTGTGTGCTTGCTCACCAGCAGTTTGAGGGAAGTTTGTGTGAGGTGTGGCCATTGCAGAGGTCCAGGCTAGCAGGAATTTTTCTAATGATGCAGGATTTCATTTGTGAGCTTTTTAAACATTTATTTCTTCCTCACTGAAAGATATCAGTAATTGCCACATTTCAGAGTCTGCTTTACCCTACTACACACTGCTTCTTGCAAGATGGCAGAACTGTGTGTTTCTCCCTTAGTTCTTACCTCCCCTGATATTAATGGTAATAAATGAGTCTCTTGTCACCAGGAAAAGCACCCTCCCATTGTTCCAAACCAGGGAAGATTGATTGGATTTCTCAGAGAACAGTGCCCTGCAGTTTTGTTTGAGGTGTATTACTAGTGGCTTCCTCTCTTCCTGTATTCATTTTTTACTTCATTGCATTTAACCACCTTTCTTCATTTTTTGTAGTGCATGGCTGCAGATACCTCCTGATAATTGGTGGAAATTGAGTTTATGTATTTGTTTCTGGTTACCTTGTAGTTAGTTTGGGGAAGAGGGTCCCCAGTTTCCAGGTTTCTGAGAGGAGAGGACAGTGTCATCTTCAGTTACATCTTAAAATGCTAAGTTCCTTAAATGAATTTGGCATTTAAAAATAAATAGTTCCACAAGGTGAGGGGCCGCTGGTTCAAATCCAAGTCAAGGTACATGCCTAGGTTGTGGGTTCTGGGACCGAACCCACAACCCAGGCATGTGTGCACAGGCAGTTCATCAGTGTTTCTCTCCCTTCTTCTCTCCCCTACCTTTCCTTCTCTCTAAAGATAAATAAATAAAATCCTCTCTAAAAATAAATAAATAAAGCAACAAAAAACAACTTTGTTCCCTAAAGTTTAATGATTTTGAATAACTGGTGTGACTCTGTCTTCTGAAGCCCTAAGACTTTGTAGGGGCAACAGTTACTCTTACTGAAATCATCCATGATGTGCCTGGATGGGCAGAGTAGCCACTGGGACCAGCCCTGGCAGCACTCCTCCCACCACGTGTAGGGCTCAGAGTGTCCACAAGCTGAGTGGGTGTAGACATGCTGCTCTCTCTGTGTCTGACTGTTGATGGCAGCTACTTACCCATGATTAACACTGTGGAAATCCTTTTGCAACTCTGGTTGACTAATAATAGAAAGCTCAGTGTTTAGCCTGAGTAGCTTTTCTTTCATCTAAAAAAAAGCATAAGAAAATCTCACACTTTATGCAGAAATAGTTTTCATGTACCAAATCAACTAAGAAAGCTTCCATCATTGTATCAAAAGTTTAAGTAATTATAAAATTAGCTGTTTTTCTCACTTGTGTTGAATAGTGGACATTTAATATGGAAAGGATGACATGTCAGCTCACTAATGAAAGGTTAGCTGTATTATAAAACTGTCCTTAACATCTTTAAGGTATTTTCTTCACTATTGAAAATACTTACATATTTCTTTTCCAACAGGTCTTTTAAGCACATATCAAGTCTAAAGGGAATCAAGGTCGGTATTGAATATTTTAAAAATATCAGCAAATGATAAATGTTTCTATTTACCTTAGTTTACTTAGCTCTTCACAGAGAATGATTTCTTTTATTTATTAGATACATTTCATAAATGTCATAATCTTTTATTGTTTCAAATGTATTTGGAAAATATATATATAAAGCATTCTTTTCTAATTTCTAAACATTTTATAGGGTGGGGCTAAGATAGGTTTACAGTTGTGAGTTTATATAAAATAGAGTTTATTCTTGTATTATTATTTATTATTGTTTTTTCCATACAAACAACTGCAAATTTACTTTGGCCACACCCTATATAATACTGTACACATACTATGCTGGTTTTTCTCACTTTATCAGTTTATGGCCCCAAATCGAACTGCCCAGCAATCCTTTTGTATTTTGTTGTATGTTTGTTTTTCTAGCCTCAAAATTATCATTTCATGCCTTCCTTCTGCCCTACCTCCTACAAGCTACCCTCATCCTCTCTCATCCTCCCTTTTCCCATACTTCACTGGAAAAATAAAAGCTGTTAGACAGGAATTTCCTTATTTTACCTTCCCCCCAAATATTAGCTACCTTCATTTATACTCACACTTTCTGCCTTCTCTACTCCTTTTACTTGGAAGATTATACTATTAAAAACCAACATCCACATTTCCTAAAGTCCACTTTAGTTCAGGATTTAGCCTTTTTCCCTCTCACCCTCTCCTGTATCAAGTCCTGTCCCCACTATCTCCTGATTCTTTATATTCCTCCATGTCTTCACTTCTGCTACTTGAGTCCAAGATGTCATCGCTTCTCACCTGGATTCTTCCAGTAACACCTTTGTCATGGCTGTCTTTTCAGAATCCGTTCTCCATTTAGCAAGCAGTGACTTGTGTTGGCTACATAATGCCACTATCCTGATTCATTTTCTGATTGCTTCCTCCACACTTCCTACCAAGGCCTAAAAGACCCTAAACCATCGAGAATTTTCCATTTCTGCTACTCACATTGAATAGTGAACATTTAAAATGATATTGATAAAGACTGTATGTTGCCATGTATAATACACTCCCATATATAATGTGCTCCCACATTTTTGACCCAAACTTACAGGGGGAAAAAGTGTTTCATTTTAATTGTTTAATTCAATTATTTATTTATACTTAGAAACAAAACCAATTATCGCATTCCAGGGTATTATTTTCCATATAGATAGCATTATTGTTTTCTAGAGTTACACTTTTAACACAAAGCATAAATAAAAGAATTAAAAACATTTATACAGACATAGAATTAGTACTACCCATATATAATATGTATCCTTATTTTTCTCTCAAAAAATTGGGCAAAAAAGTGTGCATTATACTTGGCAAAATATGGTATGTACATTCATTAACTGTACATTCTTCCTGAACTCTTCTTTCCCTGACCTTTGATGATTGGCTCTTTCAACAATTTCTTCTCCAGATTTAAACTTAAATGTTCTTTCTTTGGAGAGGCCCTGGCCTCAGCACCACTAATTTATAGCTACTGCTGCCATTGGTTACTGCATCTCAGTGTTTTTCATTCTTCAGGTGGCACTACTCACAACTTGATCATTTTCTTGTTTCTTTTTAAATTCTTCTTTGTCTTTTTGCACTAAAATGTGACCTCTTGAGAGCAGGAAAATTACATTATTTTTATAATTTTTTAATAATTACAAATTCCTTCAGATGACTTAAAAATGATGGTGGTCAATTTACGTTTTTTAACAAGACCAGAAATTTTTCTAATGTAATTTATAGTTAGGATTTTTCAAAAATAGCCCTTCACTTGGAACACTAAATAAAAGACTTTTTCAGCAAAGCAATTTCATTGTGCAAACATTTATAAAGAAGAAAGCTGACATTGTGCTTTTTTTTTTTTTTTTTTTTTCCCTTTTTGGTCTTTTCTTTAGATCACAGACAGCCAAAAGTCATCAGAAGACTCTGGATCCAGGAAAGATTCTTCCTCAGAGGTTTTCAGTGATGCTACGAAGGAGGGGTGGCTCCATTACCGGCCACTGGTCACTGATAAGGGCAAGGTATAGCATTTTCTTAGTTCCTGCAAGTGGAAGATAGACAGACACTGAAAACTGAAGCATGAAGTCTGTATATAAAGTGTCAACATATCCAAGGGCCTAGCTGGTGTAGCTCAGTGGATTGAGCGCAGGCTGTGAGCCAAAGTGCTTTGATTCCCAGTCAGGGCACATGCCTGGGTTACAGGTCAGGTCCCCTGTAGGGGGGACAGGAGAGGCAACCACACATTGATATTTTTCTCCCTCTCTTTCTCCTTCCCTTCCCCTCTCTCTAAAAATAAATAAATAAAATCTTTTTAAAAAATAAAATGTCAACATATCCAGAATAAAGAATGGAAAACATCTTTTATAAACACCTTTTTCCATATGAAGGGAACATTATTTTTTAAAAATTCTAATCACATTTAGTTTTCTAGTTTTTTATTCTGTGTATCATCTGTGGATATATTGTCTTATATTTTGGTAATATAAAGGAGAAATCAAGATGTTTAAGACGAAACTTTGCTTTAATCATTAAAATTTATTAGTTATTATCACAGTAATCTTTTAGAGTGGCACTTCTTCATATTAATAATTTTAAATTTTTTATTTAATTTTTCTCAATTATTTCAAACAGTATTTTTTAAATAATCAAAGAGTTTAACAATTTAAGAAAACTCACTTTGGATGTGACTATTATTACTTGATCATATGAAGTTGATCAATTTTGTTAATTCATTAATTAAAGATACTGTTTTGGGATCTCCTTAGCAGTGTTTCTTATTTTCATAACCTGTGACTTGTGTTAAACCTGACTTTCATTCAAAAGAATTTTCTGGCTGACTTTTTTCTTTTTTTCTATTCCTTTAGCATTTTAAATATATTTTGTGATGCCTGTTTTATCTTAATTTCCTTGTTTATTTTCCTAACCAAATTGAAGTTGAGATTTCACTATCCTTAATTTTGATACGAATATATTGCCTAACTTGGTTTATACCCCACAAGTTTTGTCTTTCCTCCCTAACAAGTATGTTTTGAAATAAATCAGGCACCTGCTGTATTTGATATATATTTCTGCTTAACAGTGTTGCTTAATGTGTTTATCCTGTCACTGCAATTTAGCCAAGGATTAAGTATGCCTGACCTGTTTCGTGTTTTCTAGCGAGTTGGTGGGAGCATCCGGCCGTGGAAGCAGGTGTATGTTGTACTTCGGGGCCATTCGCTTTACGTGTACAAAGATAAGCGAGAGCAGATGACTACATCTGAAGAAGAACAACCCATCAGTGTTAACGCTTGCTTAATAGACATCTCCTACAGTGAGACCAAGAGGAAAAATGTGTTCCGGCTCACCACACCAGACTGTGAATGCCTCTTTCAGGCTGAAGACAGAGACGATATGTTAGCCTGGATCAAGACCATCCAGGAGAGCAGCAACCTAAATGAAGAGGTGTGGGTTCTGAACGATGTTGATAAAATCAGACAAGTTCATTCACATTTTTCTTATTTCTTTTTTTCTTTAAGAAGACTGAAAGTATCTGATACATTATTTTTACTTATTGGGATATCACCTGTAGAATTAAAAAAAATAGATTATGTACTCTGCATACTGTCTCAGAAGCAGGGAGCCACAGATCAGATTGGATCCTAGTTCTGGTCATTACCTTCATGGCCATATAATTCCAAATCTGTCTTCTTATGTCTCAGACAGGAATGTTATGTGGCTTAAGTTATAGTGACAATACGTATGAAAACAAATTACTATGTAAACGCAAAGAGATAATGACATTGTGGTTTTCATTAGTGGAATCATGCAGCTAGGAATATAATATCACCTATTGTAATAGATTAATTGGTTTTAGGAAAATTTGAATGATCAGAAATCATATTATAAGCCTTTTTTTTTAAATAAGAAATGATGTTTAGGGACTTAAGAGACTTTCTAGCTCACAATCATCAAGATATTTTTATAGTGTGAATTTTGGCAGCAAAGGTAGTTTTTTAAGTGGATATAACGAAATTTTAAGCCAAAAATTCAGCAATGATCATGTCTAGCTTTTATTTGAGTACCTTTTTTGTGTCATTGACACAGTTTTTCTAATACATTGTTTTCACTTTTTGTGCCCATTGTTAGTACAAAAAGGAAAGAGCAACTTCCTTTTCTCTTTCTTTAGTGCTTAGGAACACATATAGTAACAATAAGGTTATGCAGTTTATCTTCTTAATTTTAATCATTCCATTATACCCAATTCAAATTATGAAAACTTACCTATGCCTGTGCTTTTTTTTCTCTGATAGTTTACATGCTCCCTTGTTTGTGGTTAAAAGTTAACACCAGATTGTATCAGTACACCCTCTGTTCTACAGCCACCACTACAAAGAAAGCATCAGACCTGAATTTTTGCAAAGAAACAGGGAGAATAAGGACTTGGATATAGACTTCAGCTTTAATAGCCACGTTTAAGAAGCACCTGCTGCGTGCTAAGCATTTGTAGAGCGTCCTTGTCAAACTTCCTTCAGATGACTTCATCTGTAAAACATAGAGGGCTGTTTTAAGGACTTAATGAGATAGTGCTTATGAAGAACGCCTGCTGCCTGGTAGATAATAAGCATTTACTTAATGTCAGTCATTGTCGTCATCATCATCATCCAAAGTTAAGACACAGGTATTTTTTTGTTTTATAGATAAGAAAGTAGTAATTCACTGAGCACATACCGTATGACAGATAGTCTTTTAAGCATTTTTACATGAATTAATCTCAGCAGCCATATGAATATGTCCTATTATTATCATCATCATCACCATTTCACAAACAAGGAAGCCATGTAGCAAAGACAGGTTATGTAATTTCCCCAAGGCAACATAGCTGATAAGGTCAGGGCTAGGATTTAAACCAGGAAATTTTATCCTCTAGGTCTTAACCATATGATCTCTCGCCTGGGAGGTGAGAAGAGTCATTTTGAATTTGAGATTGTTTGACTCCAAAGCCTGTATATTTTGTAAATTATATTGTTGGTTGTAATCAAAATGAGACAACTAAAAAAAAATTTTGAGGACACATGCCAATGTATAATTGAAATCAATAGAGAAAAATCATCACTTTTGGGTCAACTCTTAAGTTTTCCATACAGCATATTATAAAATTTAACTTGTTGGGGTTTTTTAAAAAAAGAAAGCTTTTGAGCTTTTCTGATAATCTGTCACTTCTAGCACTTAATTGATCCTTAATCTCTTACTCTTATAACAATGAACAATTTTGGCAGTATTTTTCATCTTCAATCCAAATGAGTGTTTTGAAATGCTGGTCATTTTTTTTTGTATTAGAGAAAAAACTGACTTTCTGCTCCCCAGTCATTAATTTAAAATGACAGATTAATAAGTTAGAACACTTGGCTACTCACTGGTTCTATTCTAAGTATTGCTGTGGTACAGAAAATAAACAGAAAACTCTCTCAGTGAGGGTGGCACTTGGAACATTGGTCACACGGTGACTGTAAGGTGATGTTGAAGAGAGGGTTCACAGCGGCACCATGGAGGGTAACTATAGTGTCTTCACTGAATACGCAAAGTAGGGCAATAGAGAGCCTCAAAAAATTAGGGATTCCTATTTTTAGAGTTGACCATCTAATTTTACCTTTTTATTCTGTAGGACACTGGTGTTACTAACAGGGATCTAATTAGTCGAAGAATAAAAGAATATAACAGTCTGATGAGGTGAGAATTCCACTCTGTGCATAAGTTAATTTGGATATAAAATACTTATTTGTTAAGAAACATTCATTTCTTTCAGCAGCAAAGCAGAACAGTTGCCAAAAACACCTCGCCAGAGCCTCAGCATCAGGCAGACTTTGCTTGGTGCTAAATCAGAGCCAAAGACTCAAAGTCCACATTCTCCAAAAGAAGAGTCAGAGAGGAGGCTTCTCAGCAAAGGTACTGATGTTGGCATTCTCAGATAAATTGAACAAATGAAATAGTTTAAAATTGGGATTTTAAAGGTATCTACATATTTTTCTGTACCAATTTTGCTAACCTCAGCCCAGCATGCACTAGCTCAAAGACCCCTGTGGGCCTGGTCTAGGCCATTGGGACCTTTCCCTTTAAGGTGAAGTCTGAAGTGCCAGTTCTCGTGACAAAGACAAAGTGAAGGAAAGTACAACACATACATCTACACTGCAAATTTGATTAATGCAGAGGATCAGGCGCTGTCATTTTGAGATTAATTGTGCTTCTTTCTGTAAAACTCTCACTATGAAGTTGTCACATTGATTCTATTTTCTTGACTGTGTTAAAGAAAATCATGGTACAAATTGTAAAAAGGTAAAGACAAATAATTGATAACTACTAAATTATATGAAAAGTTAAAAGTAGTGCTGTATTAGCAAGAGAAGATAATACAGTATTTTTGATAAATATGTGTTAGTTACAGTAGAGAACTGATTTACATAAATATTGATAAAGGGTTTTTTAAGTCATGATGTAAATACTCATGTTTTCATTGTCTTCTTATGTTGTTTTATTTTGAATAACAATCAAAAGATGATACCAGTCCCCCAAAAGACAAAGGCACATGGAGAAAAGGTATTCCAAGTATTATGAGAAAGACATTTGAAAAAAAGCCTGCTGCTACTGGAACGTTCGGGGTCAGACTGGATGATTGCCCACCAGCTCATACAAATCGGGTAGGAGACACCAGCAAGCAGGATTTCCTAAAGTCACTCACTCACTTGCAGTCATAATAGGACCTGTGCACACAGCCATTCAGATAACAGAGTACCTGTTGATTTATTGAGCCTCTTCTCCTCTCATAGCTCATCTTAATTTCCCTAAGCTTTTCTGATATGTAAGGGTGTGTTGAGTAATTTTATCTGTAATGCTTTTTTCTAATGTATTGACTCTGAAATAGAATAATTATTCAGACATTAGGATTGTATCTGAAATGATCAGTAAGAATTTATTTTCAAATCATGTGTGTTTCTGCTTTTAGCATCATAAAAGAAGGATGAGAACGAGGACCTGATTAAGAAAGTATAATAAGTGTACTTGTGTGTGTGTGTTTACAATACCCATGTTAGGATTCATATCATGAGTTGATTGATGTTAGCCGTCACTCCCTTCTTTTTTTTTTTTTTACTTTATTCCTCTTTATTCAACTGAACTGTTCTCACACACTCTTCACTTGTTCTCGTTTCCTGTTTAGACTGTTATCTCCCTGTGGACCCTTCCTTTCCTGTCTTGACCTATTTCCTTTTCCCACTGTCTCAAGTATCTCTTGCTGGTTTTATCAGTTCCAAATTCTGCAGTATGTATATGCTTTATTTTCTCTATCTAAATGCAGTAATTTATGCATTTTCTTTTGGGTGAAAATGGCCTTTTAGCTAAGGTATACATCTACTAACTAAACATAAAAATCGGTATTAAATAAAATGTTTATTTCTTGTTTTGCAGTATATTCCATTAATAGTTGACATATGTTGCAAATTAGTTGAAGAAAGAGGTCTTGAATATACAGGTATTTATAGAGTTCCTGGGAATAATGCAGCCATCTCAAGTATGCAAGAAGAGCTCAACAAAGGAATGGCTGACATCGATACACAAGATGATGTAAGTTGTGTACTTCTGTGTGGATAACTGATCTGTGTTTTTTCTTTTGGTGATATTGGCTGTAAAACCACTATATTTCTATTTTGCCACCTAGAAATGGCGAGATTTGAATGTGATAAGCAGCTTACTAAAATCCTTCTTCAGAAAACTCCCTGAACCTCTCTTCACAAATGGTGAGTTAATGCCCACAAAAGAAACCAGAGGAAACAGTTAAAAATTACATTGTTGGAAAGCCATAGAATATGAAATTGAAGGAGGAAAAAAATATTTTTGACAAAGGAAATGAGAGATTATGTTGAGTTCTTATTTATATATAAAACATAATTATGTGCTATTTTTGTCATTCAGATATTTTCTCCCTGGTATATATTAATGGAAAACAGAGTTTGTAAAAAATTGTTTAGGCTCAGTAAAATATATATTATCCTGTTCATTCACATTTGCAGTCAAGCTAAAGAGATATTTTATTGTTTTCACTCAAAAGTATTCAGACCCTAATAAGATACAATAAGTAGAAAAATATATTTTTACTCAAGGCAAATATTTGACTTATATAAGACACTCTACTAGATGTTGCAGTATGGGGCAAAGAGAAAAATGTACCAAGTGTATAAATACAGAATAGTACACTCAGGGGACTCACATCGTAGATAATCGTATTTGATGATAAGGGTTAGATGATCATTAAAAACTATAGCAGTTTTAGAGACTGATATGTCAAAAGTTATTTGGGGTCTTCCCTACAATTGTTAAATTGTGATATGAAATTGAACCTTAAAGGAAAGCTAGATTACAACTCATCTAAGCAATTTAAGATTTGCTTTATTGTTCTTATTGTTGTTGTCAGATAAATATGCCGACTTTATTGAAGCCAATCGTAAAGAAGATCCTCTAGATCGTCTGAAAACATTAAAAAGACTAGTAGGTATTATTTTTATATTTCTAAAGGTATACCTAAAATTCAGCATCTAAATTCATCATGAAAATAATATGTTTCAGATACACGATTTGCCTGAACATCATTATGAAACACTTAAGTTTCTTTCGGCTCATCTGAAGACAGTGGCAGAAAATTCAGAAAAAAATAAGGTATGTAAAAAGTGCACACTGAAGCGATATACTTCCAGTGGGTTTAGGTAAAAAGATATGCTTCATTGCTTTATGCTAACTAATCAAATACAGGGTTATAATTCAATAAAAGCTCTAAAATATAGCATATTGGCTGATCAGTACCCCTAAAGATCACTGCTAAAAGCAAAAGATCCCAAAATATCAGTTATCAGCATTTTTAAAAGACATTTCTATTTACAAGTGTCTAGCAGGAACAATGAAAAAGCCAGACATTCCATTTCTTTTATTTTTCAGTTGTATACCAGTGTTTTGAATAGACAGTATTTGCATGATACAACAGTCAGAATGTACCAAATAATACAGACATTTTTATTGTTTTGTTTAGTTTTAAGCACATAAGACCTTTTTGTGTTGTTTTTAACACCATCACATTACCTTTATTAAACACATCCAAATTTTTTAATCCTTAATATCATCTAATACTCAGTTCATGTTTGGTTTCTCCAGACTGATACATGGACCTTGTTTGCATATTGATTTAAACAAACAACTGTAAAGACTTTTCTTTAAATCATTATCTAAACAAGGTCCGCATATTGTGGTTGGTGCATTATAGTCTTAATATCTCACCATTCTCCTCACTCCTTGGTGATTGTTGCCTCAATCCTTTATGTCACTAGAGGTGGCAAAAGAGGATTCTGACTCTGAGACATTACTTCTCGAAATACTTAAACACAGCACTTCGATTTCTGGAAAAGAAAGAAAGAAACACAATACCACAAACTCAGGAATACTGCTGTCACTACTTTTTCTAAGGATGATAATCTGCTTAAAGTGGAGAAAAATGCTTTTATTCAATTTAGTTTAGTGGCTCTGCATGTTCTGGAAGATAGTTGCTCACAGTTGTAGTAAGGCTGGATTACGAGAGCAGTATCAGCCCCTACTACCTATAAATCAAGAAGATTACAAGCAGTCTTATCATTTCTTTTAAGACAGCTTCCTCAAGTGATAGGGCTATAAAAGAGGGTGAGAAAAGAAAGCCTATAGTAACTGGTTGTATTGCTTTCAGAAGCTCATAGAATAGGAACCAAAAACTCAGTATAATTATAGTTGAAATATTTTCTGATTGTTTCAGCATTTTCCAAGGTATAGTACATCATTCGTCAGTTTTGCTGGATGTTAGTAAGAACTATGGGAAAAGAGTGCTGGATGGTCTAATTATTTTAGAAAGTACTGGATTAAGCAAAATATAGTTGATTTCTTTACTGAAGATTTTTGAGAATCTTAAATATATTTACACTGTGAATCTTCACTGAGAACATAAGGCATTTCATTCCCCAGACTTATTTGATGACGTGTTGTGGAACATCTTTTAAAAAAATACAGAATTTGTTTTAAGTAATTAATGAATTCATAAAATGTGAACTACATATATTACTAGTTTTATATGGAAACCAGCTAAAACTGTATTCCCACATCATAAATATTACTGTATATATAAAATTAAAAGGCATGTTATTATTAGTCTAAATACTTAATGAAATCATAGACAAGAATCTAGTAAAAATTTTACGTAAGACCTTTGAGATGCTGGACTTTTGTTTTTTGACAGAAGGCTGAGGCGACTACACCTTTTAGAGGGAAAGTGGGAAACATGCCTTGTGTGCCCAGCTCAAGTAAACTCTTCACGCAGTGGTGTTTTCTTCCACTCAGCCAACTTTCTGTGGAAGTACTGACTTCAGTTACAAGTTAGACACGTAATAATTGCTTCAGAATGGGAAAAGATCTCTGGGTTATCCACTTTGTACTTTGTACCCTATTTGAGAGGTGTGCGTGTGCATGCCTCTCACAAAATGGTAGAGTAGTGTGGTTCCTTAAACAGTATTTTTTTTTCCAGTGTGGCTTTTCAGTTCTCTGGTCATTTGTAACCCCTTGGTATGTTTTCAGGGTTGGTGAAAGTTATTTAACATTTGAATCAAATCCTAAGTTCAGAGTATTACAGCAGATACTATAAGATATAACAAAGGAAAACAAAAACCCTACATGTTTGATAATTGTATAATTAAACAAGGAATAGAAATAGCGTGGGAATGGACATACAAACATGTAATACTGAGCATTCAGATTGGTGCAGTGATAGGCAAAGAACTCCAGAACATTTGGTTAAAGTAAAAATTGATTCAGAAGGAATACTTCCAGACATTTGGTTTTACATATTAGGGATTTAGCTATACTATTGAGGCAGGTTTGGAAAATTTTATGTATCTTTCAACAGTTTTCTGCTCTTTAGTTTTTGAGGGCAGAGGATTTCCATGTTCTTTTCTAAGTGTTTTCCCTTTGATACTAATATTTTTGTTAGTTGACTTAGCTTCAGTAATACTAGTTTTGAATCACATCAATTGCTTTCTATCAAAGACTTCTTAGAAGAAAGGAATGCCAGTTAAGCATTGTACATTATGCATTGTCATTAAAGCAGGAAAAAAGTTAGGTAGAGGTTAACTTAGGAAAATTATAACTAGGAAGCTTTTTTCTATTTTACACACACATCAGTCAACCATTCTTCTTTGAATTCTTTTTCACCAGAAGAACCTGTCAGAAATAAGATGTCAAACATGAAATTCTTAAACTTATTTTCTTAAGAAAAATTGTGATATTTCCCAGTATCATCCTTTATTGCAGATGGAACCAAGAAATCTAGCAATAGTTTTTGGCCCAACTCTTGTGAGAACATCTGAGGACAACATGACGCACATGGTCACTCACATGCCGGACCAGTACAAGATCGTGGAGACACTCATCCAGCACGTAAGTTCCTGCTTCACCCCGCCCAGAGAGTTTTTTCTCCAGGAGCAGCTGATAGATAGGGTAGAATTTGGCTATAATTTTTTTGTTTTTTTGAGATAATTACCCTTTTCTGTATTCTGTGCTCCAAAATATAGATCTATTTAATTTCTCTTTTTACCTTTTTTATTTTAAATTTTAGCATGACTGGTTTTTCACAGAAGAAGGTGCAGAAGAGCCTCTTGTAAGTATTGTCTGACTGCATTTGCACTCTGTTGTTTTCACTGGGACACCAGATCCTGACACTCCAACAATGTCAGCCTCCTGCTTTGTATGCTCTTACCCACTTTGCACCCTGGAATCAGGTCCTTAGCTCCTCAGTTTCCAACCTAAAGAAAATAGAAGTATGATGCTCATTGCATAGTTAATTATGTGTAAACAAGGTAAAAAATTATGCCCATGTACTCCACTCAGTAATGGGTTTTTTATTAAATGTTGCTTGAATTTTAAAGAAAGTATCTTTGAAGAAATGATGAAGAGATCTTTGTTTATTAACCATAGACAACAGTGCAGGAGGAAAACACAGTGGACTCCCAGCCAGTGCCCAACATAGATCATTTACTCACCAACATTGGAAGGACAGGAGTGTCCCCTGGAGATGTATCAGGTAACTCTTGCCTGGGCAGTATCAAGTTCTAGGTTAAAAGTTAAATTCTTGTAACATGAAAGCAAATCAACCATAAGTAACAATTCACTGTGATTTTTTCCCTTTTCTTCTTTTTTTTCTAATAAGAAACTTAATCTCCCTTTTCTGATTGGTCTTAATTTTCTTCCAGCGACTGTAATGCCATTATATGACTGTAATGCATGGAGTTACAGTGCTTGTCAGAGTGGAAACATGAGGGAAATGAGCATGCGAACCACTGTTTTGTTCTTTTTTTTTTTTAATTCACAGTTTCCATGTAATAGTCATCACAAGGTAAAACAGATATATGCTGCTGAATATGTGGTTGCTGTGATGGCAGAAAGTATGGTCTTTCTAGACTGTATAAGTAGTTTTCATTCTTGGGCTTGGCGTTCTGTTTAAAAGCAGCAAGGAAAATACTGAACTGCTAAAGGGCACCATTTTCAGAAATGCAGTATATTATTTGTCACTATAGATGTCATAGTAAAAGTCAACCTATTTGACAGTTTCTTCTGTTTTCTCCTGCCACCCTAATGTTTGGTTAAGTATTAGTTCTCGTAGGCTCTTTTGATGAAATTTTTCTCCTGCCAAACTGTTGCACTAACCTAGCATGTTGTTTTACACAATTGTTCTCCCTTTGTCTCTAGTTCTTGTTCTAGTCCTAAAGGGGTTTTTCAGCACTTACTGACACAGGCAAATCTATACTGATGTTGAACAGGCGAAGTGGGAGGAGTCTATCACACGGTAATGTCGCTAGTGGATTCTGTGGTGTCCCTGATGGACAGCTGGAACTGTAGGAAGAAGGAGGACTGCTGTCCACACTGTAGCTGCCTTGTCTGCAGAAACCCCCGATTCTTGTAAATGCAAAACATCGTTGATCTGTGGTGTAAATTTTCTCTTAAGATTCTTGTAAACAGATCAATACTACTTTCTTAAAAGTTTTTCTGCTGTTTCTTGTTATTTCTGAAGCAGACCGTGAGGAGAAATAGCATGGTATGGTCTACCAGTTCCTAAAGTCATACAGCATTTAGCCATGTGTTAAAAGGGGCGTGGCACGGGGCTCAGCTCATTAATTTCGAAAATCAGTTTCCCTAAAGTCAAAATGTAAAATTTCAAAATTGGTGTGATTCGGGATAGTGCTAGCCCCTTCCTACCCTCTTTGTAATTGTATAATCTGAGTTTTTGCCAGACAGTAAAATTATGGTCTCCATTTTTTCATTTCCATAATAGCATTTGTTAGTAGATAATTACAAAACTGGTAGCAATTTAAACAAACTAGTCAAAAGGATCCCTGACTGCCCAGATATGAAACTGGGGTCTCAAGCACAAAGATCAGCATTGTTTAATATAAAACCAAAGTGACCTGAAACAGGGTTATCCTGATGCCTCTTTTGCATCCATATGCATATAGTATGTGCTTATAAAATTTGAGTTTGACAGTCTGACAAAAATCAACATAAATACACCCAGTATGATTGTCTCAATTTGTAGCTAGGGCAGCAAAGAATCTTAAAAGTTCTACATTGTGTATCAGTTTCAGATACAGGATGTGGTACATAGTACAATTCTTAAAAAGGTCTTCAAGCTTTTTTATTACTAGATTTAATACTAGAAAGTTCAATGAGCACTAGCATTTCTGTTTTTGTTAGTACAGGGCTCCTTTGCCATCCTCTCATTGAGCTGGTTCTGCCTACAATTCACAGCACTCTCTCATGGCGGTGGCTTTCTGTGGTGCAGCTTGCATCTTTGTGAGCTCTGACTATCCACTGTGTTCAATGGTTTTGTTTGAGTTTTGCTTTCCCATTTTGTTCTGTGCCTGTCTTTTCCATAAGTTCTGCATTGTTTGTTGAAAGACATAAAGATGGACTAATACTGACCATGTTTTATTTAACTTCTCACAGATTCAGCTACTAGTGACTCAACAAAATCTAAGGTAAATTGTTTTGTATGATTGTGAAATATTTTAGGGGGGAATTGTTTTTTGGCTAATTGTTACGAATAGTGTACAAATGCATCCCTGTCTGTGTCTGAAGACACAGACAAACAAGATCTCATAAAGGGAAAAATTAATTCAAAGAATAGAATATTGTAGAAGACTACTGGATTGTGAGTTGAAATGTTGGACTTCTCTCAGCATAGCTTAGCATAATTCAAAGAGGTGGGCTTTACTTCCTCATTCTTTAATATGAAAAGTTTCAAAAATATGAAAGTAGGATAGTATAATGAGTCCCTATTCCCCCATTATCCATTCTCCATGATTAACTCATGGCCAAGTTTATTTCATCTGCACTCCACTCAAATCCCAAATATCATTATATCTGTAAATATATCCGTAGTAATACAGATTTTTTGTTGTCATATATTTTATGGAAATTATAGATTTTATGTTAGCAAAATCACTAATTTTGTTTGTATGATCAATATTTTAAACACAACTTATGTTCCACTGACAATAGCAACAAATTGCACAGTTTTTTAAGTAGCTTTTGGGATATTTTATACTTCTTAGAAAGAATTTTTTTTAAGATTTATTTCCAGAGAGAGGGGAAGGGAGGGAGAAAGAGAGGGAGAGAAACATCAGTGTGTGGTTGCCTCTTGTGCACCCCCAACTGGGGACCTGGCCTGCAACCCAGGAATGTGCCCTGACTGGGAATTGAACCAGTGACCCTTTGGTTTGCAGGCTGGTGCTCAATCTACTGAGCCACACCATCCAGGACTAGAAAGTATTTTATTAATTCAAACTTTGTTTAACTGAGATAGTAGCAGCTAGAATTGTCAATAAATTTCTTAAAACATTTTTCTATTCAGAAATGAGATGTGAATTTTACTTATGTTTAAATAGCATAATGGGCTATATACAATTATAATTCCTGCAGAAAATATTACAAAGTATTATAATCATATTATTCACTTCCACTTATATTGTTATTTTCACCATCTTTTTGCCTTAACCTTTTATTTTGGATCATTTTAAATCTATAGAAATGTTATTAGAGTAATAGCACCCAAACCTTTTACTCTAGACTCATCAGTTGGTAAATATTGATTGTATTTTATTTCTGAATAATTTTAGAGTTACTGAATAGACATGATAACACCTTACCCCTAAATATTTTCCCACTTGTCCCAAAAATGTTCTTTGTTTATTTTTTATCTCTTTATACAGGATGTAGTCAAGGATAATTCCTTGCATGTAGTTGTCATGTCCCTTTAGATTTCTTTAATCTGGAGCAGTTTCCCATCTTTTTTTTTTTTTTTCTGCCAGAATATAAGATTTTGGATTTCAGAGCTCTTAGAAATTCATACCTTCCATGTTATTAAATGCTTATTTCTTAACCTATTGTGATAGCCATCTCTTTATCTTAGTTATGGTGATGTTGATACCATGCCAGTAAAATAATAGATATCCAAATGATATAATTCTTTGTAACAGTTTCTCAATTGTGAAATAGTCATTTGCCTCAACATATACTTTATGGTTATACAGTCATAGAAGTTTAAAGGGAATCCTAGTAAATCTCAATGAAAACATAATCTTACTTCTTCTTACCTAAATGAACAGTGAAATTGAGATATTTAAAGGTGAATCCCTTGCTCAGTGTCATACACAGCAAGCTGCAGGCAGAAAGTCTGGTCTCCTAATTCAGAGCTCTGTCTAAGCCATTATCTATACCCTCCTGTGTAGCAGAATGTGTTAAAATGTCAATGACCATTAGAAATGGACAGGATAATTACAAAATTCTTTATAATTTATCAAAAACAAAGTTCTGTTAATCTTTGATTTCATTTTGGCTAATTCTTAATATGACAGCCTAAATTTTTATTTTTCAAAGACTTCAGTACATTGGTTTTGGCAAGTCTAAGATTTTTATGACAGTAGAGAAATGCACTTTCTGTTACTCAGCATGCTTCCTGCCTGCCTGCTCGTGTTAAATGGTGTGTGGTGACCCTACAGGGGTTTATTGACCCCTACCACCACCATTTAATTAGCACATAGGCATTATGAACAAATTAATTGAATAGTTGTCATCAAGAACCTGTTGTAAGTAGCTAACAAAGCCAGTAATTTGCAACACAACTTTACCAATAACAAGGCATGAAAGTGTTTCTTTGGTTAAAGACTCAAAGTCTTTCATCGACCTTACCTTCTTTGAACTTTCTGATTTTGTTATTACCTTGAGATAAATGAAGACATTACCAAACTGATTTGCCTAAGGCAAGACAAGTTCCTGAAGTCCAGCCTTGCGGAAATAATGGAAGACCAAAGAATCCCTTATCTTAATGAGCTGATCGTATATAGTATCTGAACCATATGCTGTCTATAGTTAGAAAATTGAAGTCAGTCATGGGATTTTAGTAACCTATTTCATAATACTGTATTTAGCTATGTCGAAATATTAACTCCTACACCTGAAAGAACCTGAAGAATGAGCACTGCCAAGCAGGGAAAGTCAGTAGATACAGGGAAATGAACAAGCACAGGAGAGCTGGATCACACTGGGCACAAAATACTCCTTTCAAAGATGGACGCCTGTGAGCCGAGACTTGGCAGTTAAATAACATCTGTATGACTTGGCGGTAAATACTACTAGGCAGGAAATGGGGCTAGTTAAATAAAAAGTAATTTATCTAAAATTATATGTAGATGAATAAATATATCTTAAGAGGAGGAATAAAAAGCTAATTATATTTTATTAGTGCTTCTAGAGCTTTGTAAGGGTAATTCAGTAAGAAATATTTGGGGGAAAACCCTTTCAGAAAAGGAACTTGATAATGTTCTCATGCCGATCATCTCATTTCTGATTGCTTTTCAGGGTTCTTGGGGATCTGGAAAAGATCAGTATAGCAGGGAACTGCTTGTATCTTCCATCTTCGCAGCCGCTAGTCGCAAGAGGAAAAAGCCAAAAGAAAAAACACAACCTAGTAGCTCAGAAGATGAACTGGACAATGTGTTTTTTAAGAAAGAAAATGCAGAACTGTGTCACAACAGTACTAAAGAAGAATCCAAAAAAGAGAGTGAGACATCAGGAAGAAAACAGAGGATCATCATTTCCAAAGAAAATAATACTAAGAAAGACAGCAGTGCAACAAAAGATGAGAAGACATCACTGCAAAAAGATAGTATGGCTTCCGAAGAACCCTCACCCCCACACAATTCAAAACACAACAGGTCACCCACTCTGAGCTGCCGCTTCACTGTACTGAAAGAGAGCCCCAGGTCCCTGGTGACACAGAAGTCCCCCCACTTTGAAGAGACAGGGTCAGACTCCGGCACTTTGCTTAGCACGTCTTCTCAGGCTTCTCTGGCAAGGTTTTCCACTAAGAAGTCCACCAGTCCAGAAACTAAACGTGCTGAGTTTTTGGCCAATATCAGCACCATCACCTCAGATTATTCAACCACATCCTCCACTACGTACTTGACCAGCCTTGACTCCAGCCGACTCAGCCCTGAGGTGCAGTCCGTGGCAGAAAGTAAGGGAGACGAGGCTGACGATGAGAGAAGCGAACTGATCAGTGAGGGGCGGCCTGTGGAGACAGACAGCGAGAACGATTTCCCCATTTTCCCCACCGCTTTGACTTCTGAGAGGCTTTTTCGAGGAAAACTGCAAGAAGTGCCTAAGACAAGCCGGAGAAATTCAGAAGGAAGCGAAGTAAGTTGTACTGAGGGAAGTTTAACACCCAGTTTGGATAGCCGAAGACAGCTCTTCAGTTCCCATAAGCTGATTGAATGTGATACGCTGTCCCGGAAAAAATCTGCCAGGCTCAAGTCAGACAGTGGGAATCTGGGAGAGGCCAAGAGTGAGAAAGAAACAACTTCAATAACCAAAGTATTTGATGTTATGAAGAAAGGGAAGTCAACAGGGAGTTTACTGGCCCCAACCAGGAGTGACTCAGAAAAACAGGAACCCACCTGGAAAATGAAAATAGCAGATCGGTTAAAACTGAGACCCAGAGTCCCAGCAGATGACATGTTTGGAGTAGGAAATCAAAAAACGAATGCTGAGACTGCTAAAAGGAAAAACATCAGACGTCGACATACTCTCGGAGGGCACAGAGATGCTTCTGAAATCAGTGTTTTGAATTTTTGGAAAGCGCAGGAGCAGAGTGGGGAGAGAGAGCCTGAACTCTCGGCTGTGACTCGGTTAAAGCCCAAATGCTCGGCCCAGGACTTGTCCATCTCGGACTGGCTTGCAAGGGAGCGCTTACGCACCAGTACATCTGACCTTAGCAGAGGAGAAGCAGGGGACTCCCAACAGGAGAGTTCTGGCACATTAGAAATTTCCATTACGGACACACCCATGTCTTTTCAGTCTGATGCAGACAGTTCTTCCAGTACCTTGGCTTCAACTAATAGGCCCCTTCTTTCCATACCACCACAGTCACCTGACCAAATAAATGGAGGAAGCTTCCAGAACATGAGCCAAAATGCTAGTTCTGCAGCTAATGCCCAACCTCATAAACTGTCTGAGTCCCCAGGAACTAAAGCACAGCTTCATCCCTGTCTTTAAACTGGGGGTATGTCCACTATAGCAAATAAAAGGCTACTGTTACACGTTCCAGTAACTCTGTAAATATTTTCTTGTACCAGAATTGTTATTATGCAGCCCTCATTTGGGCTGGTTTTGTCATTTTGCACTGTGAAATAGCTTTACAGTGCATTACTACAGCCAGAAGAACATATATATATATTTAAAAATATATTGGATAGTTGTATACAAATGAGTAAGGTATTTGTTGCAACTTACTACATAGTGTATACCCAAGATTACTGAAGAAAATAGCTGGCATTAGTGTGCAGCAAATTTGTTCTTTTGGTTTCATCACTAACAGAAGTGCCTCATCATAAAAATCCATTTGGTTTTTAGGGTGCCATATTGTTAAAATTAGATAACTTACATTGAATAAATGAATGCGTTTTATGGGTAACAAATTGCATTACATTTACCAGTTTTAACACAGGTGGACACAGAACCTCTATTCTTTAGTCATTCCAGGTGGATCTCTGAGTTTTATATTCAAACTTTTAATACAGTTTTTGAGTTTTGTGTGACTTGAATTTTTAATCTTTCTGTACAATACGTAACTTAAATGAACATATTATATGTGTATCTTTTCTTCAGATACCAGATTTGATATAAATGTTGTAACATAGGTGTGTAGATAGTGACCTGGATAGAACTGGCTTCTTTATTGAGAAGAATATAATTCTGCATGAAGACTTAATGAATCCAAACCCATGTCATGCCTGTGTGCATACCCAATTAAACACTGGAAATAAAAAATTGTTTTAGTGAACTCAGCATGGCTTGAAACTTATTCTAATATATTTTTAAATGTGATCCATTTACAACTACCTTAATTGGTCCTGACTTTAAAAAATTACCTTCTCAGTATTTTCTCTCTGTCTCCTCTTTTTTGCTGTGGTTGGCAGGAATCTCTCTTATATTGGCCTAACCCCACTTTTGTACACAGATAATTTTCTAGCTAAAGTAACATAACAGTCTCCACTTAATCTGTGGAAGATATGTTCCGAGAACCCCAACAGGTAGTACCAAACCCTAATCAACTTCTCTGCTGGGAATGTGGCAGCAGCTTCTTTAATGGCAGACAGTCTCTCCAGGAGTCTTTATATCTGTCAGTTCAAACCCACTCCTGAATCTCTGGGACCATCCTTTACTTGCAGTAAATGACTTGCTGTCATTTGTCCCAGGATCCCTGCTGAAATCTTTCTACAGGCTCAATGCTTTCTGGTGCAACACACCGCCATCAATTGAACACATTTTCGGTTCATGTCTTCCACCCACAAATTTAATGCCTTTTCCATTTTAACTTATTAAATCACAGTGTGGCAGTAACGTTTGCAGTTTGAGGTATGCGACACCAAAACTAGAATGAATTTCTTTTTCTTCACAATTTCACAGATAAAGGATTTGTTCTTACCACAGATCTTAGCAACCTCAGCAGATGATTTTTTACTTTCCTTATTAAGGTGAGAACATTCACCTTTTCACTTAAAGGAAACACTTCTTGGCTTCTCTTTGGCATACCTGAATTGGCAGCATCATTACTCTAGCACTTTGGGGCCATCATTAAGTAAAACAGCACTGCGGGCACAAACTGTGATACCATGACTGCTGATTGGGCGGTCAGGCCTGTGGCTACCAAGTGACCAAGGGAACAGGGAGAATCTGTAGAGTGAAATGCTGGACCAAGGGGTATTCAGGTCTCAGACAGAATGGAGTGAAACTGAGGAATTTTATCATACTACTTGAACAGTGAGCAAATTGAAACTGATTATTTCTGGACTTTTCTACTTAGTATTTTCAGGTCTCATTTGACTACAGGTAACTGAAATCACAGGTGATCGGCAGGGCAGCTGTGGACAGTATATGTTGACTTTTTCTTGGAGATAACTGAGTGAAAACAACATGAATTTGGGAGTTAGACCAACTCTGTACTTTATCTAGATATTTAAACTCAAACAAATTATTTAACTTCTAAATTTATTCCCTTGAAACAATGACAATAGTACCTGTTTTTCAGGGTTATTAGACTTAAATGAGATACTGTTCCAGATGTAGTGCCTGCTGTACACCACTTGCAAAATATATCAAAGCTTTTGTTAGAAATAATAGGTAATTAAAAATCTTAGAGTGTTAAGACTGTGAAAGCCTTAAAAATCATCAAATCCAGTGGTTTTCAACCCTGTCAGACCCAATATTCTCTTTCCATAAAAAATACTCTGTACTTTCTTTTGTATTATTTTGAAATGAAATTCATAGATAATATAACATCTATATAATTATGTATGGAATGATACAATATATTTTCAATATACAATATAGAATATGATTTCAATATACAATATAGAATATAATTCTCATACTAGAAATAAAAGGAAAGTTATAATAAAATAATAATTATTTCAATATGTGAAATAGATGTTTGCACCAATATATAGAGTCACTAACAATACAATAACCTCATGTGCCATAAATAGTTTTGCTGTTGGTGATGTGATTTTTCTTAAATGATGTATGGTTTTTGGTATGAAGAAAATAAAGTACACTTTTTTCTTAGTTTACGTAGTAGATGTGTTCCTGGAAAAGTCAGTATATTATTAAAACCATGAAAAATACTTACATATAAAAGGGAAGTTAGATTCAAGACTCAAATACATTTTATTCATTTCTGCTCTTATTTTTATTTCCTTTGATCATTTATATTTGCTTAGATCATTGATTTTTCAGCCTTTCTTGTTTTCTAGTTTCCATTGTGATTTTTCGTTTAACCTGTGAGTTATTTAGATGTCTATGGTTTATTTTCCAAATATTTGAGGCTTTCTGTTTCTAATTATTGTTTTAAAAAACCGATTTCTAGCATAATTCCACACGATTATTAAAAATATTCTGTTGTTTGAAATTGAGACATTTATTATAAACTAGCATGTGGTCAATCTTGATAAACATCTCAGGTCCATTTGAAGACAATATATACTCTGTCATTTTTGTCTGCTCTGTTATATTGATTAAGTCAGCCTTCCTGAGCATGTTTTTCAGATCTGTATCCTTACAGATTTCTTACCTGGCTCTGCTCAGTTCCTGAGAGGTGATACAGTCTTGTGTTACAGCTGTTGATTTATACATCTCTTCTGTTAATGTTTTTCTTACATATTTTGAAGTTAGTTTCTTAGGTGGACATAAATTTACAATCATTTTATCTTCATGGTTGGTTGACCCTTTGACCATTATGGAACGCCCTTTTTTATCTCTAGCATAGCTGCTTGCCTTAAAGCTTATTTTGTATGATATTAATGTAGGTATATCAGTTACTCGTGGTTAGTGTTTGCATAATAAATGTTCATCCTTTTACTTGTAACACTTTGTGTTTATGTTTTTCAGGTTATCTCTTTTAGCAGCCTATAGATTTTTTAATATAATCTGATAATCTTTGTCTTCTACTTAGAATATGTAATCCAGTTACATTTTTAAATGTTTACCCAGTGATATATTTATTGATTACTTTTTAATGAGAAAGGAAGGGAAAGAGAGAGGGGGAGAGAGAGAAACATTGATCAGTTGCCTCTCATACAGGCCCAACTGGGAATTAGACCCACAACCTAGGTATGTGCCCCATCGGGGGATCAAACCCTTTTGGAGTATGGGACAGCATTCCACCGACTGGGCCACCTGGCCAGGGCTGATCCACCTGTGTCTCCTGTAATTGCTGTCATATTTGGATCAACATCTGCCATCTTAATATTTGTTTTTTCTACTTGGTCCACAGGTTTTATGTACTTTTTACTCTTCTTTCTTGCCTCTTGGATTAATCAGATATTTTTATTATACTGTTTCCCCTTTCTATAGCATGTTATTTATTCCTCTTTTTTTTTCAGTGACATCCTTCACTTGATAGAATCTAATTTAAATTAGAATACTTAACTGCTTTCCACATGTTGTTTATTATTGTTGATATGCATATAACTTGTAAGGCATTTTTGTTTTATACAGTTGAATATTCATCTGCATTTACCAACAGTTATTTCTACTGCTTTTCATTCTGATATCTGGAGTCTTTTTTTTCTCCTTCCTAAAGAACGCATAATCATTATGTCTTTTAATGTGGTCCTGCTAATGAATTCACTCAGCTTATATTTGTTTGGAAATGTCTTTATTTTGCTTTCTTTTTTCCAAAGGGTATGTTTACTGCCTATATATAGAATGCTAGGATTTTCTTTCAGCACTTTAAAGATGTCACTCATTTCCTTCTGGTTACTATGGAACTGTTGAGAATTAGCTGTAAGTCTTAACTGCCACTTTGAAGATGACTATCTGGGAAACACTGTATTTGCAGGCAGGGGCAGAGCTGGCAGAGGCAGGATTGTCGTCTTTGTAAGGATGGGCCTGTCCTCTCATTCAGAACCTCTTCTAAAGTGGAACTTTCCAGAGATCTAAACAGACAGTCTGGAGTATTTCTGAAGGCCGCCTTCTCCGCAGCATGTCCAGAACACTGTTGTCGGTCATCTCAGCCCCTTCAGACCGACCTGCTTTCATTCTGTCAGCATCAAAGGGAAAAGCACAAGCCCGAGTGTCCTCTTACCAGAGTTTTCAGGGAATCTGTTGCAAGTCTCAGCTGACTTGGCATCCTGCACCCCTGCACTTCTCTTACTTATTTACTCCCCACCCCACCCCAGCCCAGGAAGAGTGATGAAAGCCTGCTTCTTAGACCTCTCTTTCCCGATGCCTGGCTTTAACTTGAGCCCCTTGTCTTAGCTGCCTCGACAGCTCTCCAGTTTGTTTCTTTGTTTATTGATGGATTATATGTATTTTATTTAGCTTTTCTAAGTATTCTCAGTAGGGGTGTTCATCTGCTATGAGCCATTCCACTGTCATTAGAAAGAGTTGTTCCCTAAACTCAGATCATTATAAATACGCTTTTCACCTACAAGAATGTCCGGACATTTAAAAATGTTTAGGGTATGAGGACATTCTTTACTATTTGCAGATTTTGATACTTGTCATACTGGAGCTTTTAGGAAAGTAATGTTTATTCTAACAATAAAGGAATATGTACTAATACTTTAAATATTAAAGTATTTTCTAATAAATCTTAGGAACAGTGGGTTCTCTAAAAGCACCCAGATAGGCAAGTAGTACCTCTTAAGTAACCTGATATTACATGCAGAATTCAGCGATTTACGGTCATTCAAATGGCCCCATCTCTTTAAGTTATTCTGTTCTCATTTCAGTAAAAATGTAATGGTTAGAATAGCTTATCCCATAGAAACAGAGTCTCAGTTTTATTTCTACTTTTTTTTAATCCTTACCTGAGAATATGTTTATTGATTTTAGAGAGAGAGACAGAAGGGAAGAGAGAAAACATTGACTGGTTGCCTTCTGTATGTTCCACTGCTGGGGATCAAACTTGTAACCTGGGTATATGCCCTGACTGGGTATTGAACCTGCAGCCTTTTGGTGTATGGGAAGACACTCCAACCAACTGAGCCACCTGGCCAGGGATACTTCTACTTTTTAATCAAAATGTTTTAAGGATTGTTCAATCTTACTCTAAAAATAGCTCATACTGTCTCTTCACTCAGAAGAGACCAGCATTTGTATTGGGTTCATTAGTTGAAACCTTTATGAAGTGCCTGCTTGGATGCAGTTTCTGCCCACTGAAGGAGTTTATAGATGACATTATATGAGAGGTTTAAAATCCCTACTTCTTGATTTTTTTCATAAGATCATATTTTTTAAGCCTTACTTTAAATCTACCTGGAATGCTGCACAGAATAT